GTGTGGGCGTAGGCATGCGCGGTGTGGTCAAGGCGTTGTGCGTGCGTGAGTGTGTGTGTGAATGTGTGTGTGTGTGCATGTGTGTGTGCATGCATGTGTGTGTGTGTGTGCATGTGTGTGTTGAGTGAATGTGGGTGCGTGTGAATGAGCGCGTGCGTGCGTGTGGGTGCATGCATGCGCGTGCATGCGTTGAAGTGTCTTTTTGCATTTACTTGTATTGCTTGTGCACCCGCACTCTCGAGCCCTCGCACCTGCCCGCCTACTGCGCCCCGCCCCTGCAGCCCCTCCCTCAAACCCCCTCTGACTGCACCAACTTCCCCCTGCACTCATCCTGCACCACGGCCAAACCTGGTCAAACCCAGGTCAATGCCGTTGACCTGCCAGAGTTCCCGCTGCGCCACGGCCTGCGCCTGCCGCCCAACGACCAGAGCCTCGTCATGCCAAATTGGGAGCTCGCCCCTCCAGGCGCGGCGGGCGCCACGGGGCAGCTGCGTGGCGGCGGTGCACGACAGCAGCAGCAGCAGGCGCAGGGCGGCGGCCGCGGCGGCGGCAGCGGTGGCGGCGCGGCGGCGATGGACCTGACTTGAATGACTGGCGCTCGAGGGGCTGCGGTTGCGTGGCGGCTGCGCTGGCGCTGATTACAAGGCAGCGCGGCAGCCACAGTGTTCAAGGCTCTTTTGGCTGTACAATGCCGCCCCCAAGACCGGGGAGGGGGGTCTCCGAGCTGCGACACGCTCGGCCCTGCCTAACCCCCCTGGCCGGCTGGATTCAATGGGGTGTGTGTGTGTGTGGCGCCCCTGCAGCGAGGAGGCGCGGCGCCGCTGTTTTCTGCTGCACGCCATCCGCCCCTGGCCCAGCCCCCATATGCGCGGGCCCGCCTGCCCGCTCGCCTGCCCCCCATACGCGCTGCAGTTGGCAAGGGGTTACCTGGGTAACAAGATTAGCAAACGATTTGCAGTGATCGGGACGCGAGGAACCTGACGTAGGCTCGAGCAATTAGACGAGGGCGGGGCAACACACACACACACACACACACACACACACACACACGTCACCTGTGTTGCAAACTCAAAAGGGACACCGCAGAGCCACCAGGGATGAGGCCGCATGCGGGCGTGGCGGGCGCGGGGCGGGGCACCTGAATTACTGAATGCGCGAGCATCGCCCCCGCTCCGCCTCAGCCTCCCCAGCCGTAGAGCGGGCCCCCGCAAGAGCGGCGACGTGGCCCCCCAATCGGTTGTGTTTTCTTGCTGACATGGCGCCGCCGCGCCGGCGGGCGAGCCCCGCCTGCGTCAGAGAGCGGAGCCCGGCGG